GTAGGGGTGGAAGAGCTATGGAAATGAAAATTGGTTACCTGATGAGAGGATGGTGTTCTTTGGAAGAGTTGCATAGGAAGAGATTCAGCATCTTCTTGTACATCTTCTTCATCAGTAACCTTCAGTGTTCTTTCAGACTCTCCTTCTGCTTCATCAAGCGCAAAATTTGATATATCCCTAGAGAGGGAGTCTCTTTCTTCAGCTGCATTCTGTTCTTCAAAAATGCCTACTGGAGTTTGCGAGACCTCTAGTTCTGCCATTTGAGTTTCCTTTTCAGCTTCTCCAGAATTCCTTTGTGCTTCAACAGCTTGCTCCATTGTTTCTAGAAGAGCTGACTGTTCCGGAATTTCTGCTGACTTCTCCGGGATCTCAATTTCAGTAGGATTGGAGATCTCACATGCAGTTGTGAGAATCTCAAGAACTTGAGATTGACCCAGTGGGGGAGAGGTTGCCTTTTTTTCTACAACTTCAGTTAGAACCATTTCAGAAACATGTGAGGTTTCCGGAAGTGTTTGGAAATCTTCAGCTGCTGCTTCCAAAACACCTTGTGCTTCAGAAGTGAGAACCACTTGATCTTCTGTGTCTTTTGAGAAGACTGGCTTGAAGACTGCAGGATCTTCATCATCTGCTTCAAAGTCTGAAACTGGTGTGTTGGCCAGGTATTCCAGATGCAAGTCTTCAGGGTTCCTTTGCCATACCCAGTAGTCATCCAAAATTTGTTCACAGTTATGGTTGACTGGTATTCCTAAGCACTTCTTGATGATCTTCTCATTCTTCAGTTGTTGGTCCCAATTCAACAATTGCTCTGCTGAATTTCCAACTTTCTAGGCTTTCCAATCATAGTAGAGCTGCCAGAATTGGTTATCTGCATTATCTATTTGAGGTTGAGGTGATGAGGTTGGAAGGCTTTGGACTTGAGGAATTTCTTCTTCAAGTTGTTGAGGGCTCCGGTTTTGGGCAGAGGTTTCCTCAGCAGGTTCCTTCTCCTTCAACTCATCCGGATTGACATTTCCAGATGTTGATGGAGAGTTGATCTTCCTCTTCTTCTTCCTTTGAAGTTCTCCATGGTCAGAGACTTCTTCTTCCTCTTCCAAACAGATCAATGCAAGGTTCTGTGGTGCTTCAATACTAATGGAGGGAGACACCACTTGCTTCCTTTTGGCAGTCTTTGCCATATGGATGAGTGGGACATTATCTGATGAACTTTCCTCTGCAGTGACACTGGCACCAGCTCTGTTTTCCCCTTTTGAAGACAGATAGTATAACCAATATCTTTCTCCATAATTCTTTCCTTTAGAAGCAGCACCCATAGATTCCAAAATATGTCCAATGTAGAGACCTTGACAAAGGTACTTCTGATTGTGCTTTCCCAGATGTTTTGAGATGGATTTAAAGAAGTGTGCAGCCCAATTTACCTTAGATTGGGTAATTAGAGCGTTGATGATGAAGGCTCTCTCCTGCGTGATGTCATCGGCATGACCTCCGCTTCCACACTCGAGGCAAGCGATGATCAGTTCCAAAACTAACTTGTAGTCGTTGTTCAGATCTGCTTTCTTCGCTGGGCCAGAGGGAGTTTGCCCAGAGATTCCAATGATGTTCCAGTCCAGATTTTTGGCTGGAAATTTCCCAATTTCAACTCCAGAATTGGGAAGGCGAAGCTTTTCTCCCAATTTCTTCTGTGAAAGCTTCACTTTTGTACCTCCGACAGTGGACTTGATGACCGGAAACGTCCTCTGTGGGTCCTTCTTTGAATGAGCAGTCTTGACCTCTCCATTTCTGTAGAATTCAAGAACTTCTTCTTCAAATTTAAGGCGAATCTCCATTTGATGAAATTTGGAGAGTTCTTGAGCGGCTATCATCTCCAGATAACTTTGAAAGAATGTCAGTGAAGAGCACTTGGCTTCTAACTTCTGGAAGTGAATATTAGCGCCGACAACCTTCATTTTCTCAAAAATTTGAGTGAGAATTTGAAAGAGAGAGACCTAGGGTTCTTGAGAGTTTTTCGCGAATAAGACGATGAAAATTTTTGAAGGGGCAGTTTAGATCTGAATAGTGGCGATTGGGTTTTATTTGAGCGATTTATGCGGCTAGTGGCGATTGGGTTTTTGACTATTCCCAAGGCCACGTGCCTACCCAATATTTTGACAGACGTGGAAAGTGAACTGCCACGTGTACCGCACTCAGTCTAATTCAATTAGACCAATTTTGTGAAGCAAATCAGAAAACTTGGCTTCACTTAGTGGTTTTGTGAAGATATCTGCCAGTTGTTCTTCAGTTGAGATATACTCAATTTTGATATCTTTCTTTTCCACATGATCTCTGATGAAGTGATGCTTGACATCAATGTGCTTAGTGCGAGAATGATGCACTGGGTTTTGAGAGATGGCTATGGCATTTTGATTGTCACAAAAGATTGTCACTTCCTTTGTCTTGACTCCATAGTCCAGTAGTTGTTGCTTTAGCCACAAAATTTGAGCACAACAACTACCAGCTGCAATGTACTCTGCTTCTGCTGTTGATGTAGAAATGGAGTTTTGTTTCTTACTGAACCAAGAAACAAGATTTCCACCAATGAATTGACAAGTACCAGATGTACTTTTCCGGTCAACTTTGCATCCGGCAAAGTCAGAATCTGAGTATCCCACTAACTCAAATGAATTGCT